CACACACACACACACACACACACACACACACACACACACACACACACACAATCAATCAATCAATCAATCAAACCCCCTTCTTTTTTTTCATTTTTTTTTTTTCAAATTCTTCATCTGCATTTTTTTTTAACACCTCATATCCCTGCGAAAAACAGAAGTTCATTTGCCCGATCCCGATGTCGTGTACGTGCGCAGGCTCTCAATACGTGTGTGCGCGATCCCGATGCCGTGTACGCGCGCAGGCTCTCAATCCGTGTGTGCGCAATCCCGATGCCGATGCCGGGATCTCTCTTCATCTGCGCGATCCTGATGCCGTGTACGTGCGCAGGCTCTCAATCCGTGTGTGCGCGCTGATGCGAGCGGCTTCCCACGCCCACACTTGATCCGCATGGGTGCGCGCATTATCCTGACCCCCTGGTACGCGAGTGCGCAATCCCGACCTCCTCGTGCGCGAGTGTGCGATCCCGACTGCCTCGTTCGCAAGTGCGCGATCCCTACCACCCCGTGCGCGATCCCGACTGCCTCATGCGCGAGTGCTCGATCCCGACCACCTTGTGCACGAGTGCGCGATCCTGACCGCCTGGTGAGTGAGTGCGCGATCCCAACCACCTCGTGCACGAGTGCGCGATCCCGACCGCCTCATGCGCGAGTGCACGCTGATATGGGCGGCCCTTCGCCTGTGCGCACATAAGCACGCCTGTCTGTGCTAGTTAGTGTGTGGGCGCATGTGCCCACGCTAGTGCGTGACCTCCCCGCAGGTGCGCCCGCACGTACGTGTGCCCGCGCTAGTGCACGCGGCCTTCCCATCGGTGCGCGCGTGCCCGTGCTAGTGCGCGTGACCTCCCTGCTTGTGCGCCCGCCCGGCTCGACCGAGTGCGCTTGTGCGCGTGATCCGTACACGGGTATGGTGCGCCCGGTTCCACCCTGCTGCACTCTCCTCCCTTGTGGTCCCTCCCCCGAATGTACTCCCCCGGCTCCTCCTGCCGTGCGCCTGTAAGTGAGTATCTCGAAAGTGTCCCGCCTTTGAGCCCGGTTGGGCTTATATACTTTGTTGGGCCTTTGTCTCGGAGTGCCTCAGCCTCTTTGTGTGATCCGTACACGGGTATGTTGGGCCCGGTTCCACCCTGATGCACTCTCCTCCCTTGCCTCTTACCTCCTTCGTGCGTCCCTCCCCCGAATGTACTCCCCCGGCTCCTCCTGTCGTGCGCCCGTAAGTGAGTATCTCGGAAGTGTCCCGACTTTGAGCCCGGTTTGGCTTATATACTTTGTTGGGCCTTTGTCTAGGAATGCCTCTTTGTGTGCTCCGGGGCTTCCCACAAGTTGCAACGCCCCTGTGCCATGGTTGCCCCGAGCCTAAGCCCAGGCCTGTTTGGGCCCCCGAAGGGTTTTTAGCGAAGGGGGCCTTTTTGTCGGGTACCGGGCCTTTTGCAGTGCTCCAGTACCGAGGCTCATGCCAAACCAAGACCCAACCTGCCCTGGCCCTTGTGGTCCCTATACAGAAAGGTGCCAGGCCTTGTCAAATTCCATAGGGCCCAGCCCCGAAAATAAGGTCGCGGCCTGAGGGCCCTTCTCTCAGCCTTAGGCCACTTCCGGCTCAAATTGGGCCCCGTCAGTAAAAATCCCAAGTGTGTCCGAGCAGCGTTTCCCCTTTGTATCGGTTCTACAAAGAATTCCGGTGCCGGCCGCCACTTAGTTCACCTGAGGGCTCGTCTCAGAAGTCTGGCGCCCTCCCTTGTTCGGTCCATCGCCCGGCTCTTAATGCAATCTGGCTCTCCCGTTCTTGTCCTTTGCCTGGAGCCTCCGGCAATTAGGGTAATAGTCGCTCATTTATGCCTTGTCAATGATACACCTCAGTAGTTCGCGCAAAGGGGTGCCTATCCAGAATTCATGGTTCTGCTTTTTCTTGATGCCTCCGCCTCACATCCGTTGCGTGAGTCTGATATCGTACCTTTCGACGTCAGTTGAGACCCCAACAGGCAATTTTGACTGAATCCAGTTCTCCTTAAGAGTTATCTTCAAGGAAGTAAAGGGCGGCTTAAGGCTGGAGCCGCCCGACACCGGCCAAGGAAATTGACTGGCCCCGGCCTTTATTTTACCATCAGCCAAAGAATCTGGTTTTCATTCATTCTGTAAAAGCTCACCAGTGGTCCAGTCCAGCACACATCCAGGAGGACGCTGCTAGGCATCTTGAGCGGCAACTGCTATGCTGATTGCTCATGCCTTGCGCTGCTGCGAGCTACCAGGCTATGGCAGACAAGGAGGAAGATGACTAATGCCTTACGTTGCATGTTGCTGGGAGCTATCTGTTAGCCCCTCAAGAGCAAGAAAGTGGAGGGACATCGTGTTAGCCCCTCAGAGAGCAAGAAAGTTACACGGCCGTTGCCACCTAGGAAGTGGGAAATGGAGAGATCAGTTGAACAAGTTGTAGTGTGAGTGTGCCCTCAAATCTTTCATTTGGTTAAACCTCATGTGTCAGACACGCAGTGCCTTACAAGGAGGCCCTCTTTTAATCCAAGGAGGATTGTGCCCCTCACAAGGCCTGTCGGGCCTTGACAGCCGAGACCAAAAGGATCTCAGGCAGGCCTTGTGCCCGCCCTAAGTGAACGTGGGCCTGCATTGGCCCCTGATGCCTTATTTTTCCCATTTCTTCATGTGGGGGCACCAGACAGTTACCACGCGCCAGTTGGTTGCAAGGCCCACACCAGTGGGATCACGACATTGTGAGCCTCTGGGCTAACCCGGGCAGCGTCGTGTCCAGAGGCCTTTCAGCCATTGGAAATGCAGTGAGCGACGCTGGCCACATCGCACAGTTGGGTTGCTTAACTGCTGTGGGCCCAGGCCACTGTCCGCATTCGGCCTGGGTGCAGATACTGGGGCCCGACTGGAAGCTTCTGGAAACACCATCGCCAGGCGTGGCACATAAGGCCGGGCATCAAAGAAAGTGCTCGCCCACCAGCAGGACATTCTGGCCCCGGGCGCTTGTGCAACAGTGCTGCTGCATTGAGTGCCCGAAGTCGCCGGGGCACAGAGGCTGGAGGCGCACACGGTTGGCGCAGAGTGATGAGGGCGCTGCAAGTGCAGTGGCCACACGGCAGCCATAGCCAGGCTGACCGCGTGCATGCTAGCATGGGCGATAGTGGTCTTCGGGCATGGAAAGCACATGAGGTGGGGGTGAAGGGGGTGAGGTCAGAGAGAGAAGAGGGGCACGTACCTGGTGTATGCAGCAGTCTGCATCGGTGACTTTGTCACCTACATTGGTCTTCAGCTTGAAGTGATTCCTGTTTATTGTAGCAGTGTAGGCTAGATAGGTACTGAGTAGAGATAGGATGGGCGCTGAGCACCAATCGAGAAGGGCGGCATTGAATACTTTGTTGGTGGTGTCGAGAAGTGGCCGGCATTGACATTTGAATTCATTGTATTGCTCTTATTTGGCTGTATCTGAGTGCTTTCAGCTTTCTGCTTGGGACACGACTATCTGGCTTTCAACGTGATGTTACGATTTGGTTTTATGTCTATCGCTCTCGCTCATTTTCCTTGTACAACCATCTACCTGAGTCAATCTTGGAGAGATGAATATATGTTAAGAAATGCTGTTTCAAAGGATGTTTTCTCACTACCAATGAGGCCACAACCATCTACCTGAGTCAATCTTGGAGAGATGAATATATGTTAAGAAATGCTGTTTCAGAGGATGTTTTCTCACTACCAATGAGGCCAAAGTTGCAACACGACCCTCCACAACACAACACTCCATTTGGGTCATTCCAATCCCAGCGGCATGTACCATGCCCTCAGATCAAGCCCATTGTTCGATGGAAAACCCATTATCTCACAAAAAAAAAAAAAAAAAAAAAAAATCGCAATTCAATTATCTGGTAACACATTCCAATCCATCAAAATCTCAATGCCACCCCTCCCGTCTTCCCACTGGATCCTTACCTTGGTGGTAAATCAACCCCTGCAGCTGGTTTGCAGCGCACAAAGAAGTCCCCAAATCGTACATACGACAGACCAACGAGAGCCCTACAATGTGAGAGTTCATAGCAGCCACACACATAGCAAACACCACCAGTTGAGATGCAATCCTCATTGAAATTCCCCTCTCCTTCAACACACAAGTTACTGAGTGACCCAACAAATGCAACTTGTCTCTCTTATAATGTGAGAGTCTATATCAGTCACACACATGGTAGACACCACCAGTTGAGATGTGAAAGGGTTTTCACTTTGCAGGCCCCAAATTCGAGTTTCAGGGTCAAGGTCCCCGAGTCAAAAAGAGGCTGAACAGGCCAAAACAGGAAAAAGTTATATCAGGTACCCCATAGGCCACACAAGTCAGAATTCAACCGGTAACCGGCCTCGAAGTCCAGTCCCCAAGTCAAAAATGCAGGCCCGCTCTAAGAACAGTCTGGAAGGTACCGGGCCTCAAATTTCCAAAGGCAAACAGGCTGCTGGCGACCGGTACCAGTCAAGTCAGGCCCAGACCCAGCCAAGCAGAGGCCAAGTGAAGTCAAGGTCAGTCCAGTCAACATAAAAGGACTGGCCCAGCACCATTCAGGCAGATTGTTCACTCGTGAGAAGGTGGAAGCGCTGTTGGCTGCTTGTGTGCTACCACAAGTTAACTGCGCGCCAGAGAGCCCTGGTGGGCAGCGCCAAGTTGTAGAAGACAGGCCTCCTTAGCCGCAGTAGTAGTAGAAGTAGCAGAGCACAAGTAGGAAGGCAGATATGTCCAGGGAATGATCCTCGTAGTAGAGGAGGTTGAGCTTTGAGGAGAGAGAGAGAAGGAGACAGTAAGGCTGTGTGATACAAGTACCAAGAGACAGACAGACAAACACACACACACACACACACACACACACACACACACAGAGAGAGAGAGATGAAGTACATACCTGATTTAAGCTGCTGACTATTGCGCTGTTGAGCGTTATGTGACTCGAGCTCTAATTTTTGTACAATATGATCATTCATTGAGAATTTCCAAGCTGCGCTAATCTGGTCTCTCCATCTCTGGAATTCGGTGTGAATTTCTGTGTGAACTCTCATGGTGCATACGACTGGAGTATGAATACAAGTTGTTCATTGTGATTGGTATCAGAGCCAGAAACCGCTGCATCCGTTGGAATTGGGAGCTGGCAAGGAATAATGCAAGACAAGCAATTTTGGGTTTGACCTAGGGTTGATGGCCGAAGAAGAAGTGGCCTGTTGAGGGGGAAAGTGAGAGCACGTACCTGCATACAAAGAGCGGCATCGTAGAGCATCAACAAGGGAGCGCTCACTAGTGAAGTGCCTCGCCACCCTAAGTCCTGTATATGCTGATGTTGAAAGTTTGTGAGCTTGAGTACCATCCCACATCTTGGAGACGCTGCCACTGGTCAATCTGTTGAAGACATCTTTTGCAATTGTCTTGATTCAGCATCTGGTCTGCATGAGTTTGTGAGTCAGTCCATTGGATGGACACTCTCCTAAAGGAAAGGATCCTCCCGTTGTGGGGAAAAGGCTAGTGGTTGCTGGCCTACCCGGGGTCATGCGTACCCAGTCGGACCCTAGCCCCATAGGTCAATACTCGTGTATGCTTTAGGTCAAGTCCAATGTAGAAGCTCGGCAGCTGGATGAATCACCCGTTAGTAAGGATCATGGACATGAACGGCGAGCGCTCGTAAAACACCTCGTCAAGCCCTAAGACCGCTACCTGCCAGCATGCAACCGAACCGGAGCTGACGCAGTGAGGAGCTCTAAGTGAGAGAAATCCTTCAGATTGGTGGGCACAGCGTCCTGTCTTCACCGTTAAAGAATTCCTGAGGTCCTTGCTGGCTGACCTTAAGTTGTTGGAGTTGTTGGAGAGCTGTAGTGACACTATGTGGGGGGGGGGGGGGGGGGGGGTAACTAGATCAAACTCTAAATTAGGTTAAGGTAAGTGTTGAACAAGTGTTGAGGTGTATGTCTACGCGGTGAGGAGGTGGAGTCCACATCCCTGTGCCTTCTTCCACCATGGATGACTACCCAATGTTCGCTTTCTTGGCCCTGTCAGTGATATGGGGGGCTCTGCTCCGTCTTTTCTTCCCACTTGGATTTCACCGGACGAGTAGGATGTCCAGCACAGTGAGATATGGTAAATCAACCCAGCCTTATACCAAAGAAGAGCAGGTACAGATTAACAGGAAGCTGGCTGAGAAAAATAAGGAGGGCGAGGCAAAAAAGAGGAAGAAGGCGGAGGATATAAAACAAACATTGGAGCAAGATAGAAAGCGAATGGAGGAGGAGAAGGAGCGAATGGAGGAAGAGATGAAAAGAAAAGAAGAGAGTTACAAAAGGAGTTGGAAGAAGAAGAAGAAGAAGGATTGATGAGGAGGAGAAAAAGAAGAGGAGGAGAAGTGGGAGAGGTTGCAAAGAGCAGCCATGCTGAACAATTGGGCCTCCAGATGGCAGAGGATGAGAATTGGGTGGAGAAATTCGGATTCCGCACTGATCTGCCAGAGGAGACCGATGAAGAGAGAGATACCTTTGTAGCAAAATTGGCAACAGCTGCTGATGAGGAGGAGAATAACTTCCTGTTGGAAGAAAAGAGAAGTGACCCCCACCAGCGAGTGTCGGCCCAGAACAAGAGGGAGTTTGATGCGAAAAGGAGAAGGGAGGAAGGAGAAAGACTCCAGAGGATGTTAAAAGAGCAAAAAGGGGAAGACAGAGAAATTAAAGAGAGTTTGACCCTCCTTACTGATACTTTGCTGCACAACCACCCAAGAGCTCGCTGCCCTACAAAAATCGGTAGGAAAAATAGAGCGGCATCAGGAAGAGTTCCAAGGTACTTGGAACAACTTCCTATGTTCTTCCTCCCACGAAGTGGATTAAAAAAATCCTGGAGTATGCACAGCATAGTCACCCACAAGTTGACGAACACCATCGCCGCAGTAAAGTTCGGTGGTAGTGGAGGTAGAGATGGTGATGGTGGGGATGATGGTGATGATGACAAGAAAAGTAGGGGTCCGAGGAAAGATGGGGTAAAGAAGGGAAGTGAGGAGCAGTCTCAGTGAAGAGAGAGACGAGAGAAGTTGAAGTAAAACTCCCTTGGACATACACTGGGAAAAAGGAAGAAAACATATTCCAGTGGGAGGCAGTGATGGACACGTACCTATAACTGTGGGTTAATGGCTAGTTCATGCCTAGGTGGGGATGCTGCCAACTACGAATACTTCAGAAATCCGTAGTCTAATGGAATGTCATGACACCAAGGGACATTTCGGGTGGAGAAAGAAATATGCTAATCTCCTTCGGTCCTATACATGGACTGGAATGAAGCATAATTGCGTAGTGTACATTCAAGGCTGCAAGGTACGTCACAACAACAAGAGTTTTGTGCAACCTCCCCTTGGACTGCTGAAACAGTTACCTAATCCGTCAGGTCCCAAAGACTCCGTGACAATAGACTTCATGGATACAAAACTCAAGAGTAGCAACAAGAGTAAAGTAATGGTAATTGTAGATAGATGCAATAAATTTGCTATTTTTGTTCCATTCCCTGCAGAAGCAAAGACTGACTTAATAATCAAGGAGTTCTTCAATCATTGGGTGAAAGATTACGAACATCCCTCGAGTATTGTAAGCGACAGGGACACACAATTTACATGTGAGCACTAGCAACAGCTAATGAGAGTCTCTGGGTCCGAGCTGACTATGTCGTCATGCCGACATTCTGAAACTAACGGTCGGACCAAGCAAATGAATACACTGCTTCAACAAGTACTGCACATGTATAATAGACCTGATCAGATTTAGTATGAGCATCTTCCCAAGATGGCCAGTGCCTATAATAACTTTGCGCACCTAGGTAGAGCAAGGACTCCTAATGAGCTGTATAAGGGATGGAGTCCACGGTCGAAAGAACTCCCATAGGAAATTATATCCCAGAAATGATTACCTGCACATAAGGAACTGTGGCAGTTTCTTGATGTCTCTAGATGGTCCTTCCTATGTTGTTGAGATACCACCACATCTACATACCTATCCAGTTTTCTATGCCTCTAAGTTGCTTTCCTGTGTAACTAATGATTGGTTCTCATCAAGAAGATCTATGATACCTCCAAACATGAACGACAAGTGTGATGTAGACCCCATAGTTGCAGAAGATGTCTACAGGTCAGGACGCAGAGGGAGGCCCAAGCGACAATACAAAGTCAGATTTGCTTACCCAGAGCCCACAGAAGATCGCTGGTTTACTAGAGATGAGCTAGTAGAGTCAGCCCCGAATAGAGTATCCCATTATGAGAGGGCACGTTGTCGGTGTGAATACCCTTACAAGGGTATCCACCCTGGTTTTTGCAAGTGACAGAAAAAAAGTTCTGACTTGAAATTTGAGTGCACCGTGTGAGTCGCGGCTGTATTTTCTCTTACGCCGACTAAATTTGACTAAGAGTAGAGAGTGTGTAGGCGTGCAGATTTGAGGCACCCGTGATTTCTTTTCTTTCTAATGTTACAGAGACGGCCTATTTGTCGGTTAACTTTTGCTTTCGATTATATTAAGAGTAAGTGGTATTTCTCTATACTACTAAAGCAAACAAAGGGCCCGACGACATGCCTGGTCGCCGGCCCAAAAAAAATCGTGGAACCTGTGGCGGAATGAGGGCGAGGTGGGAACCGGGCAGTGGGACCAGTGTGGGGGTGAGGCCGAGGCGAAGGGGTGGGGGGCCGAGGTCGAGGCCGAGGCCGAAAAAAAACAATATGAAAATTGCGACCGCCAGGCCTACGACAGGCACGGGCGGGGGAGGCCTGCCGACCTTGCCAGCAGTGGGACCAGTGTGGGGGTGAGGCCGAGGCGAAGGGGCGGGGGGCCGAGGTCGAGGCCGAGGCCGAAAAAGACAGAATATGAAAATTGCGACCGCCGGGCCTACGAACAGGCACGGGCGGGGGAGGCCTGCCGACCTTGCGGCCTACGAACAGGCTTGGGCTGGGCGGGCGTACTTTGAACTGGCGCGTGCTCTAGCAGGGGTTTGGAAACTAGCGGCGAGGCGATGGGCGGGGCGGTCTCC